TCTTCCTTGTGCTTTGGCTTCTTTGTGCTCCAGTGCAATTTTCAGAGTATCTTCTGACATCCATTTTGGTCTTTTCTTCCTCTTCTGTCTTTGCAATGACCGTTTGCACTCTTCCTGGATGATACCCTTGATAAAGGGGTGAGGGAAGCTTTTCAGGACTAGAGACATTCATGCTGACTGTTGAAGGGAAAGAAAGGGCTGACTGGTAAAAAGATGGGGAAAGAGTGCTTTGTAAAAGCCTGAAGGTGGGCTAGGACTCGTGTTCAGAGAACTGAGTGATGCGTCTATTCTTGCAGCTCTTATTGAAGGTTTCCTCCTTTTGTTGGCTCTCATAAAACATGATGGCCTTTTTGAGTGATAAGTCTTTCCTGATAACATGTGCACAGTGAGTTTAGAATGGATACAAAGTAAATATTTTATATGTAAAAGTGAGTCCTTTTACACCATAAATTATATAATTAAAATATGAATCATTTAAAATAGAAATATTAAGCCATAGTACAGAGAGTACAGATATTTTATGGGGAAATTCAGGAAATTGAAATGAGAATGAAGTTTGGGAAATCCTGTTCTTATAAAACTTGTCTGGTTTGTGTCCCCAACATCTTGCAAATGCAGAATGAATAATTTGGGACCAGTCCTCAGAGAAGGACATCATGCTCGGAAGGATAGAGGGACAGCGCAGGAGAGGAAGACCCCGGAGGAAATGGATTGATTCAGTGACTGGGTCAATGGGGGTTGGTGTGTCAGAGTCAGTGAGACTGGCTATGCTGTGAGTCGCAGGCAACTTGATGTCACATAACAACAAATACAATAGAATATTATGCAACCATCTTTTAAATGTAATAATCTTTAATGAAGAGTTCTTCATATGGAAAAAATTCATACTATTAATTTTTTGTTTAAGAAAGCAGGATGTAAATTCTAGATAGCTAGTAGGATCTCTGTTTTGTAGAGGATTGTAATATTTTCAGGTGATTTTTAAGTTTTCATCTTAGCTCTGATGGCCTAGTAGTAAGAAACTGCACTGTCAATCTGAAGGTATATGGTTCGAATTCACTAGCTAGCTGTTTCGTGGAGAGAGATGAGCAATCTCCTCCCATGTAATTTGCTGCCTTTGAAAATCCGCACTGGAGTCAGCTATGGGCGGTGCCAACTCGATGGTACGTAACAATAATAATTTCTATTTATAAAATTTCTCTGTATAAACTAAGAATTTTTTTATAAAATTGATAAAGTTAAATATATTGAAAAGAATTGCCATTGGATAATAGAATTACGAGTGATTTCTGGTCAAACAAGTATTTTGAATGCAATGCTCAATCCTGACATGAATGGAAGAGGGGCGCTAGAGCGCCATAGTAAAGTTAAGCCGACAGCACCGCGGAGAAGCCCCGGGGCCTCGGGTGGTGTAGTCTGTAGGGAGTCGCTGCTAACCCTAGGCAGCTTCTTCCTGGCACTCCGTGAGGTAAAAGAAGGGCCATCTCTTCCCCCGAGATTTACACCCTCCCAAAAACTAGCCGGCGGTTCTGTGGTTAGAGAGTGAAGAACCACAAAGGAGGAAGGTGTTTTAAGAGGACATCACTGAGGGTGGACCTGCAGGCCTCGTAAACAAGTAGCTGATGAGGACCAGTAGGAAAGACTTTCAGGAGCAATGAGAGGCTACAGTAGGGTAAGGGACAAATAGGACTAGAAAAGCTAGAAAGATGAATCCTATGGAGGCTCTGAATGCCAGCATAACAATCTGACCTTGATTTAGTTGTTTTCTAAAAGGAAAGTGAAAATGTAACAGAGGGTGTTTGGAGAGACAGGAAGGGAGAGATGCTGAAGGCAGCGATTGGCTAGG